AAAAAAGCTGATTTAGTGGATATGCTGTAGTGTTGTCAAATCCATCACAAGTACTGAGTATCTTAGTCAAGGCGAGACCCGTAGAAGATGCCAATCGTCTAGAAAATGCAGGGTAGCATGGGGTGACGCTTCGCCTCTAGAGCAATTACTTTGGACGAGGCGTCTAAGGGCTTCGTCCAATCGTCTTGAAGGACATATGTGAAGGGATGTGGGAAATACTTCGCTTGAAATTTTGCTCTGCTTATTGCTTAGCTGATTATCAGGGGACATGCCTCATAGACTGAAACATAACGGATTGTACTTGTCGATATTTGTGACTGAAAATCAAGTTCGACCATTGATGAATGAAAATAAACGGAGGCTTATTATTATAGGTCTCAATCTGAAATAAGAAAGAATTAACCTTACATTTTGAGTCATCACCCAAAGTTTGAATCCTTGGATAGGACGTCTAGGAAGCGACAGGCACGACAGAAACGGGTTTACAAATGACAGCTTCTAGTCTAGAGAAAAGTAGGAATAATTATATTTGAAAATTACTTATTTTTATTTTAACAGTAAATTTATACTTGACACAAATAAATTATGANCTAGGAATAATTATATTTGAAAATTACTTATTTTTATTTTAACAGAAAATATATACTAGACACAAATAAATTATGACACTATCTGACACAATTGTATAAATATATGTAATCAGAAAAAGATCATGTTTGAGCAATATTAAAATTTTCATTCTCATTTTTCAACCACACATTTTTCAATAAAATAATATTTTTTTAATCACATCAATAAATTTTTCTTTTTTTTTCAACCACACATTTTTTATCAATCTACTATTTCAAAATACATTTTTCCAAAATAATATGGCTCAAACACACCCAAAATTAAGAAAATTTGAAAAAGTAACAAAATTGATCGATAATCTTGTGATGATTCGTTTTGAGTCTTGCATCGTTTGTGAAATGCCTACCTCGTGGCCTACGAGTACATCGCGTGTCCAACGCTAAAAAGTTGAGAAAAGGGGGAAAGCTTTGCCATGCGTGAAATATAGTGTTTGATACTACACGATATATGAAAGTAGACTCTGGCTTATTTTAATGTTATTCATTGTATATTTCTTTATAAACAATTCTCAATATGGGAAGAAAGTCGTGTTAAGTTAATGAATATAATGAAAAAAATTCGTGCGGTGTGGAGTGAATCTTTATACACATTTATATTATTTAAATTAAAACTTAATTAATTGTCGTGAAATGGTAAGGTGAGGCATCATCCTTTTCATGCATGGTAACTGTATTTTTCACTATTGTCGCTATTGCAATCGAACTTTGATTTATATATTCATGACTATCGAACTTTTCACTTAATTTTTTTCCATGGCCACCGAACTTCCCACCTAATGTTGCTATGATAACCAAACTTTAATATATAATCAGCTTCTGCAGCTAAAATGTTTAGATAGAACATATAACTTAGGGTCTGTTTGGTATGACTTTTGAAAAGTTAAAATGAGCTTTTGAGATTTAAAAGTTGCTTTTAAATCCGTTTGGTTAATTTTATAAATGTGCTTGAATATTTAAAAGAACTTTTAAAGAACACTGATTCATTGTGACTTCTTTTAAAATCACTTCTGAAATATGAAGTGCTTTTATTAGTTTTCAAATAAAAAAATAAGGTTGCTTTCTTCAAGAGTTCTTCTACATAATGTAAAAGAAAAAATTCATATCGATGGGGCTCTTAAAATATTTCTCATTAGCTAAGTTGTCATTGAAGTGTGTGGACCTAATCATACTAGTAAGAGGACACTGTCATTTGAGGTGTCAACCCCGATATACACATAACAAAACTCATCATACTAACACACGC